CCTCCCCCCCTTCTGGTTTAGGAGAGTTCTCTGCCTCTGATAGCTCCCTCACTGATGTCCAGGAGCAGAGGAGGCAGCCGATGCCAGATCCAGGGCTCATGCCCTTGCCTGATTCAGCTTCAGATTTAGATTGGTCAAATTTGGTAGACGCTGCCAAGGCCTTTGAAGGTAAGAGTTTGCAGTTCATTATTAATGATGCGCACATACCAATTTACAAGTCTTTATTTGATGTTTATATCATTGCTTCGTATCTTAAGGCTCTGAGATCCATATTCATTTTCATTGATGCCCAATTGTTGAAATACTGTTTGCTTTCTTTTGTTTATATGCTTCAATTATTATTAGTGTTACTGAATTCAGTCTCTGTTGTTTCACTATAAATACCACAATTGCATTTATAGAAATGCACAGTTGCAAAACATAACTTTTCCCACCAGATCAGAAAGATTAAAAGGTGTCATGACACACCAGTAAGGTTAGAGAAAATGTTTAAAAATGTCTCGAATAACTGTTGGAAATGTAAACAAAAGCCAGGCACTTACTACCATATCTGGTGGGTATGTCCTAGTGCAAAGAAATTTTGGTCTAAGATTCATATATGGCTGGAAAAGATGACTAAAATACAGATGGAATTTCAGCCAGAATTGTTTTTATTAGGAATACTAGGATCTAATTATGGCAAAGACAATGAGTATTTAATATTACATATATTGACAGCTGTGAGAATAGCATTTGCCCAATATTGGAAAAATGAAAATGTACCATCGGATGAGATCATAATTAGGAAAATTCTAGAATGTGCAGACTAACCTTAGAGATTAAAGAGAAAGAAGACTTAGTTTATTTTAAAACATGGGAATTTTTTTTATCAACGGTTAGCAAAATGAGTTAACGAAAAATGATTCTGAAATTTATTAAGATGATTGATGCTTATTGATTAATTGATATGCTTTATAATTATTGTTATTTTTGTTGACTACAGCTACTTATTATTATATTATCTATTCTCACTGAATACTTGTACCCGGATGATAGTTTGTTTGCTAAAGCTTGGAATGTCATTGGGGGCAACCCCATTGTTGTACCTACCCCCATCCCAATCCCTTCCCTGAACACTACCCTGAATCCCATTACCTATACCGACCCTTTTTTCCCCATATCTTTATAAAACTTAATAAAATACTTATATATAAAAAAGAAAGATTAAAAGGAACACAGAATTTTAGGCTATATTTTGGTCACTGCTGAAATGTGTCACCAAAGTCATTTGAGAATACAGGTAGTCCTTGACTTACAAACATTCATTTAGTTATAATGGCACTGAAAAAAGTGACTTATGACAGTTTTTCATATTTATGGTCATTTCAGCATCTCCATGATCACGTAATCAAACTTTGAATGCTTGACAACTGGCATGCATTTATGACGGTTGCAGTGTCCTGGGGTCATGTGATCATCTTTTGGACCTTCTGATAATCAAAATCAGTGGGGAAGCCAGAGTCACTTAGCAACCATGTTACTAACTTAATAACTGTACAGGGGGGAATACACTGGGCTGTTTGCATAGCAAACTCAGGGGTGCCAAGATTACTTTGCTTTTGATGTGTATTCCCCATTGTGTCCCTGATTACTCTCTTGTAATCCCTTCCTCTCCAATTAATGTAAGTGCAAACATTAATCCCTTCTTGCTAATTAATCCTTTCTCTCTCTCTCTCTCTCTCTCTCTCTGTGTGTGTGCGTGTGTGTGTGTGTGTGTGTGAGCATTCTGAAAGGCAGTGGGAAAAAGGAATGCACACTCATGGTCATGTGATTTCCCACTTAGCAGCCGAGCTGCCAATCCTAATTGTGGTCACTAAAGGAAGACTACATATACGTTCATTAGATTCTAGAAATTACCTGACCTTACTGAGGAGAACAGATTATATAATATAACTCAAAGGCAAAAGTGTAAGAAAGGAAAGTTACCATAATTACCCCAAGTGTAGATTTTTAACTGCTGTTACTGATTTTAATTTTACTATGATATATATTTTACTGTAATACTAATGAAAAGAAACTTAGAATATGTGTTTGTCTTTTTCTTTCCAGTCCAGCGAGCATCCTTTTTTGGAACTAATGATGAAAACCATAGGCCCATCAGTGTGGCCTCCAGTAATGATCAGGCTGAAGACCAGCTTTCTGCACAGATGAAGCCTTACACTGGGTAAGTGATCTGCTGAACCATCACGACTCTGTTAAGAAGGCTGGGGAAATTGTTGTGCAGTAGAATCTGTAAAACTTACAAATTTAGAATATATGCACTCTGATCTATGGAAAACTGAAAATGTGACTTCAGGATCAGGAAGTGGTTTACTACCTTTCTGGATATTATTTTAAGTGATAACATTATCTAAGAATATGAAGTTTATTTCATTTAGTGATTGTGTAATTAATAGAAAAAAGAGAGACATATGTTCTAGACAAATGGGATTTTGTTGTAATATTTACAACAAAGTACATATACTGCTTTTAAGTCTTAAAAAGGTATAATATCAACTCTAGAAAGATTGAGCTGAAAATTATAAGTTACCTGAAAGTACTGAAGTTATTGTCATCTTATGCCAAGTATATTTTTGAAATTCCTACAATTAATTGTGGAAAATAGAATATGAAATCAATAATTGCTTCCACTGAGTAAGTGCTAATTCTTCTTGTTATCTGAACATTGATTAAAGATGAAGTAAGTTTACCGCTGAACTAAATTCTGCATTCACGCCATAAAAGGACTGGAGAACTAGGAGACTGCTCACATTCTGTAAGCAGAATTTGCTGAATGAAAATGTAACATAACCATCCCTAACATGACTGAGCAGGTTGAAAACACTCATTGCTATACCATGTAATGATGAATATAAATGTTTATGGTTTTTTTTAAAAAAAATATGTTAAAAAAATGAAATGAAGTATTTTGTTAAATTAGCTTTGTATGCGTGTGCACGTGTATTCTGACAAACAATTACTAAAGAAAGCTACCCTTGCTTGAAAATTTCTCAGAAAATTTCAATAGACTATATTAAAAATTAGAACAATTAAATATTAGACTCACTCTAATAAGCCTTTTCATGGCTTAGCAACTCTAAATTATAATTAAAAAAAATAAAAGTACTGCATAAAATAATTAAGAAATAAATATTAAGAAAACTTAGCAATTCGGTTTTTGTTTCCTTCTCCTCGCAGTAAAGAATCTCCTCCTCTTGCTTCTAAAGTGAACCAGCTGGAGAGTATGCTAAGAATATTGCAGGAAGATTTAAAGAAGGTAATTATATTTGTTTCAGTATCAGCTTGTATTAAATATTCAGTTTGGCTTTCTCTCAGTTGGTCACGTGGTAAATCTGCTAGTCATTTTAGAATGACCATTAAGTCTTGAAGATATTACTGTAAACTATAGGGGTTCCAAACACTGTAGTTATTTTGCAAAGTAAGTGGTGTCCAGTCCAGTAACGTTTGTAATGATTTGACGAATCCTTTGTGTATTGCATGAAGATCATTGTATAATAACCATTTTTCCTCAATAATAATAATAACAATAATAATAATAATGTTGGAAGGGAACTTGGAGGTCATCAAGTCCAACCCCTGCTCAGGCAGGAAACCCTACACCATTTCGGACAAATGGCTGTCCAGTCTCTTCTTAAAAACTTCCAGTGTTGGAGCATTCACTGCTTCTGGAGGCAGGTTGTTCCATTGGTTAATTGTTCTAACTGTCAGGAAATTTCTCCTTAGTTCTAGGTTGCTTTTGTTATTTTCTCCAGTTTTTCATCAATTTAGCTGTATCTGGGGATGAGTGAAACCATCCTTTCTTTTCTCTAACAGTAACATTTGATACATTATATTCTAAATGAATTTTGAAATCTTACATTTCAATTCTCCTCGCTTTTCAGTACAAAGTTCCAATAGATTTTGCAAACTATAAAGCTGAATGTCTGCATAAATTTCAGTGATCAGTTTTTCCACCCTGTAATGCAGGGGTTCCCATCCGGGGGGTGCTCGCATGATCAGTTTGGAATATCTTTGTAAGAAACTTTTGAGTTTATGGTGCCAGTAATATTTACAGTGTAAAATCCACTTGTGATATCTTGTGTTTTTATTCTTCTCCCAGGAAAAAGAAGACAAAGCCAGTCTTCAGGCTGAAGTACAACATTTACGGGAGGATAACTTACGATTACAAGAGGAATCGCACAATGCCTCTGAAAAACTGAAGAAATTCACTGAATGGGTTTTCAACACAATTGATATGAGTTAATAGCACATATGAAACAAACACATTGGCAAAAAATATCTCTGGAGTGGGACGTAGCTTTAACACCATCCTAAATTATACAAACCCAGTCAGAGCACTTTCATATGTTTCATATTAGGGGTACCTTTTTTGGTTTTCCTTTGTTTCATTTTAACATATCTGCAAGCACCCAGAATTATTGCAGATCAACTATCAGTGAATGCCTTTTATAGGAAAAGAAGAAAAAAATAATTTTAAAGGAAATAAAAATTTAACTACTAAAATGTGAATGTCTTTAGATTTTTTGCACATTCTCTTTACCTGTTCTGTATAAAATTATTTGGAAAGTGGACCAGAATAACTGTCCATTTGCCTCTAATTCTATTCATTACTTTGTATAAGTTTCAGATTAATCTGCTTCATTCTGCTTTAGTAAATATTTCAACAAGACTTATTTTTTCCAATGCTTAAGAGGTTGTTAACTGTCTTGTGTGTCTGTTAAGAATGCTATCTCCACATCTGTTGTACAGAATCATTTCCCAGAGAATATCAGAATGTGTACACACATCCTATTTGTGTATAAAGTGTAGCTAGCACAAAGCTATGGATATGTCAAGCTATCCACTTCTTTTTTGCACATCTATATAAATTTGATGCTCCCAAATGAAACAGCTTGAGATAAACATTGTCAAGTAGATATATTAAATGCATATTTCTTCTCTGAAAAAGAGAAAAAAATGCTAGTATTGTAATAATTATTCTGTCTTTTACCAGCCAGGAATATTTCTTTCAGTGGTCCCTTCTAATGATTGAATTAATTTTTCATAAATACTTAATTCCTGCTGTCTGAGAAATTATTAATAGCTTTCAGTGGCTGCTAGAATTCTCTCTTAGCACCTTTACTTTTATAGAGATATTTTATATATATGCACACACAGATTAAGAAGTTAAAAATGCAAATCTATATCTTTTATTCTGTTTGGCATAAATATGGCATAAACTAATTTTCAGTAGTTTTCCAGTTAATGCCTCAAATGAAGTAATAATTGGACAACTGTTATTAAAACATGCAAAGTTCCTTCCTTCCTTCCTTCCTTCCTTCCTTCCTTCCTTCCTTCCTTCCTTCCTTCCTTCCTTCCCAAATTTATCTTGATTATCATATTATGGATTTTTCATTAAAACTGACTATTGTTAAGTATGTGTGGTGGGAGGCTAACTTACCATAAAATGTCACACCTGCAGGACTCTTTAATATTAGGGTGGGGAGGGAAAAGTGTGTATATTGCAGCCTGCTAAACATTGTTTCAAGTGACATATGGTGAATTTTAGTTTGTGATCTCCACTGCATGCAACTGTGATAATTGCTCCTTGCACATTTCCACACTTAGTAAGAACAGCCCATGTCTGTCAGCCTCATAAACTCCTTTTTCCTTTGTTCCGGCTACCATTGTTTGCTGGAACTATTCTTAACTGCTGCCATTGAGTCTTCCTATCCTTCTCTGATATGCATTTTCATAATTCTTAATAATTGTACAAATCCACATGGTTTGCTTTGACCTAAAGCTTAATGTGTGGGGATAATCCCATTGGGATGTATTTCTGATTATATCTGGGCCATCAAAGAGGATTGATTTGAAAAGTATTTCTGGAGTGCTTCTGCTAGAATATATTTAAGTTGAGTTTTTCTCCCCTCCCCCTCCAAGTAACTTGTATGAAGGAGATCTATATAATGCCTGAGGAAATTTGTAAATGGGAAATATTGCTAACAACTCTAAGCATCCTGACTTTTTTTTTCCGTTCTCTAGTTTTTTTTTAATATTGGGACTTGGGGCAGACTATTTATTAGAGTTTTGCAACAGAGTTCTTGTATGAAGCCGCTAAATGGCTACTTGTAAAAAAATTCTGACAATAAAATTCATTTTAAAAACTCTTCTAGAAATAATGTTTTGTTTGTTTTTATTCTTCAAATACTGATTCCTTCTATGCCATTGACATCGAAAACCACAAATGCGAAAATTAAAAACCATTGAGAGGTTTTTTTAATATTTGCATCAAATCATAAAGTTGGATAGGCCCTTTTACCCCATCATGCATTACTAAAATACATTACTATAATCTGAATTAATACATCTCAACAAATATATCTCTAGTTTTGTTTGAACACATTCATTGAAGGAGACCCCAGTATCTCTCTAGATAATTGCTCCCCCTATCAAGCTTTCTTTTAGTTAAGAATCTGTTAGAAAAAGATTCTTAACTAAAATTGAAATTTTCCATTTTGTGCTGCACATTCTAGAATGTTGAAGTCCTGGTTTTGACTTATTTGACATTCTTTTAGCTATTTGAAGAGTAACATATATATTCCCTCCTGGTCATCTCATGGCTAACAATGCTTAACTACTTTAATGTTTCTTCATATAACTTAATTTCTTGTCTCCGATTTTCTTCATTGCCTTTCTTTAAATCTGCTCCACTTTCTCTGAATCTTTCCATGGGGGGTTGTCCAAAAGTAGACACAATACCTGATGGGTAGTCGGCTAATAGAGTGTGAGGTGGAATTTTACTGATTTGGAATCTATACTTTTGTTGATATAGCCTATTTTTTTTCCTTTTTTGCAGTTATAGAATTTTTCACCACTAGAAGGTATTACTTCTGTTTTCTGAAGACTTATAGGTTAGGGCATTAAGCTTACTAAAGAAAAGGACAATAGTCTATCCTGAGTAAATCTGCAAATAAATAGGAGAATTGTTCTCGAGCACAGTGCACTTTAGATAAGGTTGTCATAAAGCAAAAGAAACAGTCAAACAGTGAAATGATGAGCACAGTGTAGTTCTAATGGAAATAAATTATTCATATGTTTTAGCAAGTATTTTGGAAGTCATTTCTGTTTATCGCACGAAAGAAAGAAAGTTACTTTTAAAGACTTGGCTTCTGCGCCGCATGAGAAAAGCACATCTTCCTTCCCCTGTCCTGACCACTTTCTACAGGGGGACAATCGAGAGCATCCTGTCATACAGCATCACAGTCTGGTTTGGAAGCATCACTGCTTCAGACAGGAAGGCGGTGCAGAGAGTGGTGAGGATGGCCGTAAAGATCATTGGCAGTTCCCTCCCTCCCATCCAGGACATAGCACAGAAGTGTTGCTTGAGGAGGGTCCGTAAGATTATCTGGGACACTACACATCCTCTTCACGACCTGTTTTCCTTGTTACCTTCTGGGAGGAGGCTTCCTGGTATCTGAAGCAGAACATCCAGATTCAGCCAGAGTTTCATTTCATACAGCATTAACCTTGCGAACTCTCAAGCTTCCTCCTTCCGTTATATATTCAAGATGGACAGTATTTAATATTTATTTGCTACGTATATGTAGAGATGTGGGTCTATACATATGTTCATAGTATGTTTAGGTGTGTGTCATGTATGTGTTTTACTTTGAGAGCGGGCAACTAAATTTCATTTTTGATGTGTGCCATTGTGCCCACAGTATAAAAATGACAATAAAGGTTATCTTATCTTATCTTCTTAAAAGTGTTTAATATAAAAAATAATAGACCTGTTGCCCAATTTAGGCCACCATTATAATCAATTAAAGTGATTTTAAGTAATATTATTCAGTTAATTTTTCTTGTACTGGAGAAGTCTCTTATTTCTCCAATCCTTTAGTTTCATCTTCCTTCCTTGGATGGAAAATTAAGACACTTCAGAAAAGAAAGGACCAGGTCCTATAAACGAGTAGTTGGGTGGGTTGGAAAAAGTTGACAAAGTCCAGAAGTCTTACCAGATAGGAAAACAAAGGGCAAAAAAGTAAAATGTGCAAGCTGCCTCTTATAATAGAACACCATATGAATTGACATGGGCAAACCTTGTTTAAAGAACAGAACAAGCATGTCCTTAAATACTAGTAATTCCTAAGTGGGGAGAGGAGAGGTAGAACCGGGCAGGCAACCAATAAGAGGACAACGCCTCAAAATTAACTTGCAATATGGCTGCCAATGGGAGGTGTCTCTGAGATGCCCTGCTAATCTCTTTCTGATTCACTTCTATTTTTCCCCAGGAATTATATTTTTAGAAGGCTGAGAATAGCATGTTTATGTATATGTCAGATTGCAACGGCATAGCTTAGCAATGTTAAGAATGTGGGTGGAGAAAAGATTGCAAACATGTTAACCTCAAGTATATTAGCTATCAAATCTATGTAAACAGGCTTGATGAGCCTCTGGCTCTCTAAATGCTGCTAAACTATCATTCTCAGCATCCCATGCTTTTGGTAACGCGATTGGGGCTACTAGGAGGTCTAACTCAGTAATACCTACATGACCACAGATTCTCCACACCTGACCTAAAGGATCATTTATTTACAGCCTACTATTCAAATGTTGGGTTTTCATCATTTGGGTTTTCAGTCTACTGCTTTGCTGTTGGCTTCTGAAATCTTTCCAATCAGAATGCAAGGAAGTAACTCATGAGGCTGAAAAGCTCTAAATCAGTGGTTCTCAACCTTTTTAATGCTGCGACCCCCAACCGGTTGTAAGTCGAGGACTAAACCGGCCGTAAGTCGAGGACTAAACCGGTCGTAAGTCGAGGACTAAACCGGTCATAAGTCGAGGACTTGCCCTGCCCGGGAGCGCCGCACATGCGTGGTTCCGCCCCCTGCGCCGGCCAAGGCGTAACTGGCAAGCAGCAGAGACGGAGCAGGCCGACCACCAGCTGGCCCAGCCCAAGGGAGGTAAGGCACCCGCCGGAAAAGGGAAAAAAATGGCAGACAAAAAAAATGGTGGACAGGCTTGCTTGGTGACCCCCGTGAAATGGTCGATCGACCCCAAATGGGGTCGCAACCCATAGGTTGAGAACCGCTGCTCTAAATAGCTGTCCCAATATATGGTTGTGTTAGTTTAGCATTTTAAAAGTAAAACAGTCTTAGCTCATAAGGCAAACATGCATGTCTAATAGTAACAGCAATCATATTCCTGTACTGTAATACACAGATCAGAAGTGCAGAAAGAAAGCAAAAAAAAATATATTAACAAATCCAGCTATTTACTAACATTATACAACATTTGAAAGAAGTCAACTCTTACCGAACTGAGTTCATATTGTATTTTTGGAAAAATATGTAGTTTGTCCTCACAATATCACTACAAATCACAGCTGTTGCAAATAAAATTACTCTGGATTATAATTGTATGATTTGCCTTCCAACAAAAAGCTGATTTTCTTAGGATTGATCAAGAAGCGTAACTGGCCTATTGGAGGTTTACTCAATTTTCTTTTGTGGAGTCTGAACTCATTTTGTAGCGTTTTTAACCCCCCAGTCAGCAACCAAGGAATTGGAACTTAAAAAGTGCTAAGAAGGCCTGCCCTATTAAAAATCCAGGATGGTCAATTCCAAAGCGACCTCACTTGGTGAGGTACCCCTCAGAAGGTCTCACAGCGGCCCCAAATTAGCAACACAATACAAAAGCCTTTGGTGGTTGGAGGCTGTCTGTCTCCCATGAGGGTGGAGAGACTCCTGTGTCAATCTGCTGAATTATTACATGCATTGACCACAGCCTGCAAACCCCACAAGTCAGTGAAGTGAAGGAAAGCAGAGTATTTTTCACTTAACCTCCTTCTATTATAGAAGTTCAGCAGCCTCAACTGTGGTTGACCAAATTCTCCTGAGACACAATTGGGGAATAAGAAACGTCACCATTCTGCTGACTTGGAATAATTGCAAATTTATTTTGTTCTTGGATTCTAATCTTACATTGTCCTTGAGAAAAGTTCTGTTTTATATGTTACTGTATAAACTCGGCAGGAATCATTCCCAGCACGACTGTATAAAAGTACAGTCAGCCAATGCACAAAGAAATTAATAACTTAAAAGTTTATGAATTTTTAAAATATGGAGTCAAAGTATTGGCCAATATTTAAAGTTTACATTCCATTTTCCATTGGTCTTTTGTTATTAACTTCTTTTTTAAAATGGATTTTTTTTTTTTTTGCAGTTGACATTAAACGTGAGCATGAAAAAACAGTTGCTGGAAATTTCTCTGCTGCCAACATCATAGTAGAGACTCCTTGGAGGGACATGTTTTGAGCAGAC